AAAAAAAAAGAAAAAAAAATAATAATAATATCATTACAACCAAGGTCAGGCTCTTATTTAAAGTAATGCGATCATCCTGTGTACATTAGAAGTAGACTAGAACCTTGAAAATAGATGGTAATTAATCTAATACATAAATATTTGATGAAAAAAGGTAATTGCGATAAATAAGAAAAGGACATTATCAACCAGGATTGGCTCATTGTTTTTCCCTGAACCACTTACTTTCCTATTTTCATTTGCTATTTTAGATACATTCTATTACTATAAGAAAATAATGGTCCCAGAAAAATGTTAAATGATCAAGAAGTTCTAGCTGTGTTTGCTGTTTTGATGACAAAAACTGTATTTAATTAGTTGTTCTGTATGACTCTTTGGATAGCAAGAAGGGAGTGATTTTATATTTTAAGTCTACACAAACTCTAAAACTTCCTATTTGCGGAAGAGATTGCACAGTCTCAGACTCTGGGAATTGGCGACATCTGGAACCTGCAGGGGAGCTGCGCTTGGTTGGTTGCAGGTTGCCCCCGCACTGCATGTGACTTAGGTGGTCCTCACCTGCTGACCCAGCGCCTCTGAGGGGCGGGGGCGCCGCAAAGCGAGAGAGGTCAGAGGGGGACAGACCCTCCGAGGGCTGAGGGCCGTGGCTTGGGTTTTCTTGCAGTGCACTGTGCGGCCATCGGCTCCGTGCGTGAGGTTGTAGGGGACATAAAAGTCGAGGTGGCCGTGGAGGTGGGCACTGGAAGCCGAAGGAACGGCACCAGGTGCTAAAATAGCTGAGGTAGGTGGAGGACAGAGGTCCAGGGCGACGCGGGGGTCGTGGCGCTGTTCATGGCGACAGGGAGGTCTGGGAGATTTCCTCCGTGGGAGGACGGGGGAGATCTTGAGCTCGGATTTGGAGAAGTTAAGTTTGAGATGCCACAGAGAGGTCTGTTGCTGTAGGAGCCTGGAGCCCAGCAGAGAGGCTGGTGATGTCATGTGCAGGTTAGCGCTGTCGCCGGTGTCCGAAGCCAGGGACACCCAGGAGCACGCTGGGGGCTGCAGGAAGAGGGGCGCACATGGGACGCTCCAACAGAAGTGAGTGGTCCGGCCAGACGCTGGTGAGACCGGGAGGAGGAGGAAGAGGAGACTGAGGTCTCAATGAGACTGTACTTCAACTCCTCACCGCCACCAAGAACTGGCTGTCCCACCTCTGCCCGCAGCTCGTGCGCACCGCCAGGGCAGGGTGCCATCGGGCATCTGGAGTGGATGGGTGCAGACCTGCTGCTGGCACCCTCAAACAAGCCCCGAGTCTAATGATCCCCCATTGCACATGCTAAAGAAACGATTTGCTAAGAGAATTTTTAATTAGCTACAAAAGTACTCAAAATTTCTCATGTCCTGCCACACTTAATTCCTTCAAGAGTTGCCTTAAATCAAGTTTGAAAATCGGCCGTGCCCTTTAGTTTATGTTTGTGAGCGTAACCCTGTAGTGGTTCTCGTGTCATTTGGTGTATACATGTGTTTTCACTCCACAGCTGAATCATCGACTGGGCCAGAGCCAGGCTGATGTAGATTTGGGTATGGGCAGGGGGGAGGCTCTCGGTGGAGCTGGAGCACAGTCTCTTGGTTGAGGGCGGCTGCCACATGCTGGGGGCCTTCATCTTTCCCTCTTCCTCTCTAGCTCTTTCTCTGACATGTCAGTTCACATGCACTTAAAGCCACAGCATAATTATATGTTAAAGCACAACGCTTCAGAGGTGGGAAGGATATACCAAAAAAATGCTAGCAACTGGAATTTTTAGCATAGTTTATAATATTATTGAAATTCATACAGGTTTGCATTTGAAATTGATGTGGAATATGTTTTATCCTTTTTCAGTATTTCTTGAACAAAGACTGGCCTTGAGGGAACACCATGGTGCTGCTCAATGTCACATGAGGAATTTCTCTTTCTTAAACAAAAAAAATAAACAGACAATTTATTCTTGCATCACCATAGTGATAGAATTAATTATTTAATTTAAAATAGAATGCGCAGAAATAAATCTTAAAAAAAGAGGTGGTGTAATCTTGACAACAGGCAGATTGGGATTCATATTCTAGCTCTGCCACAGACCACTGTCTGAGATTTTGGGCAAATTAATGGAAAAAATAATGGAATCTATTCTTATATGGTTGATGTGTAGGATTAAATAAGTATATATCCAAAGTCCTCAAAATAGTGCATGGCACACAGTAAGCACTAGATGAGTGTTACTCTTGCTGGTATGTGACCAGTGCAGAAACTGAGGCCCAGAGAAGTAAATTACCTAACGTCCCTACAATCACAGTTTCCCAGTACAGATGAAACCACAGCCGAAATCTGCTATTTCTTTCTGTTCCGTCCTTTCAGATTAGAGAGAGCCATGGAAAAAAAAAAAAACTGCCTTGTGAGACTCCAGGACCTAAGGCCAAGACTCCCCTTTCAGGCTTGTCAGGAATAGAACACCTTAAAGCCTTTGTTGCATCTTTCTTAACCCTGGGCCTTGCAGAATTACAGGAACCAGTTCCCCCTCAGGACCTCACTATCGTAGGTTAATCAGAACTTCTGCAACTTCACTTGTTTTAGCCATTGTAATGCACTCGAGAATCATGTTGGATCAATAACTTTTGTCTCTTAATGTCTAGCTTGTTTCCCCTCTATGCTCAGATTCTAGGATTGAGAGGTGAGGGATTTCAGAAACAAGAGACATTCCAATAAGTTTGTTACACCAGCATATGGCTGCCACATTTTTTTATGTTGCCAAATAAGACGTTAGAAAAATATAAGCTGCTTCTGTCTGCCATCACTATCACTTCATAAAAAGAAGGACATTCCCACATGAGAGCAGCAGAGTGACAAGACCTCAGAATGCAGCCCTCCACCCAATGGTCAGGCATCTTGTCCAGCCCACGAGGCTTTGAACTACTAAGGAAATGTGTCTTATTTGACTTTAAATGCCCAGCTCCTATATGGGTGTTCTTGCCTAAAATCAGTGCTTGGAAAGTGCTATTTGAAATACATGAATTGGCAAAACAAGAGCCCCGGATTCAATGTGGTCCTAGCAAGAAAAGCTGCCCTTGGTCTCCTTCGGAAGCCCATGCCCACTCCCTGGGCTGTACCACCCTGCAGCCTGGTCTTCTAACCATGCAGATTCCCACTATTCCAAAATGTTTTCCTTTCCTCTGAATTGCTCTTGGAAGAGATCTGACCTATCTCTTGGTGTGACTCTAAGTCACCATGTCACTTTCCTCAGCACTATTGCATTTCAAACCTTGATGCTTATTATGAAGGGAATAACGTGAAGACCTGTGAAAGTCATTTCTTCCATGGCAGAAATCATGGAAATATTTGGGGGAAGAGGAGCTTCTCAGTGATGCTGAAATTGTTAGGCCGCGGGAGGCTGAGCTGCTGATTAAGAATCTAGGGAGAGTCTGGTAAGTTACTCAGAAGGTTGAACGTAGAGGTACTGAGCAATTCCATTCCTGGGTGTACACCCAAGAGAATAAAAACTTACAGCAACACAAAAACTTG